CTTACCCCCACCCCTGCCTCCCACCACTGCAGTTGAACCTGTTGGAGGAGGGCTTGTAAGGGAGGGAGGGAATGGGGAGCAACCCAGCACCTCTCCTTCATTCGTCTACCCTCCCACCATACCCCCAGGAGCTTGGAGTCCATGGCCCGAACACAGAGGGAAAGCCTGCATTAGGGGTTTTTCATAGTTGTAATTATTTTTCTCACTTCAAGAATAAGGAGTAGAGTGGGTTTGCAATTCCCACTGGGCTTTCTAGCTATCCCCGCCCCCATTCCCCCAGGCCCAAAGTAGCAAAAGTAAGGTTGTTCTCCTCTCCCCCACTTTGCAGCCCAAATTTGGATTAGGGGGTCGACCTACCCTTTCATCATGAAAGAAAAAGTTCGGACCTCCAAAGGGTCTGGTCTGGGCGAGAAACATATAACCCCACCCCCACCCGTATAGACACTCAGCGGAAGCGAAGGGTCGGAGGGCAGGCGAGAGCAGTATATGTACACAAGTAGTGGGCGTGTGCTGTGTGCGCTGTGTATGTTTGATGTGGCTGTGTACTCGCTGCGGTGTCCTGTGTGGTTGCCTACGGAGTGTGTACTAAAGCTATGTGGGAGTTCATGTCTGACATGTGTGTGTTCTGGGCTATGTTGTGGGATCCCGTGCACACACCCGCTTCGTTGTTGGAACGAGATGCATCTATGTCCCACCTCTGGCTTTCACCTAAGGCCCAGCGATGAAGACGACAGTGTAAAGTCCTCATTTCCGTGACCGGGTCTGCGAAGGTCTGAGGATCTGGACCGACTTGCCTCTGTTCAGGACAGGGAGAATTCGTTGCAGCCGGGTTGGGCTCAGGGCCTGCCGCCAGCTCTCCGCGGGGCGCCTAGGCGCACCTTCTGCGGTGGGTCTACTCGGCTTCGGGTGGAGGGCCCCTCCCTCGGGTCTGCGGAATTAAGCGCTGGCTTCCGGACAGAGAATTCCTAAGCCCCAGACCACCCAATCCAGCGCCTACGCGTCCTGCACCCGACACCGCGAGCCATTCCCGGCTCAGGCGCTTGGTGAAGTTCAGTGCCGCGTGGCTTCCTAGCCGAGCAGGGCGCCTCCAACGCACCTTCAAACCCCTCCATTTTTTGGTTAACCATTTTCTTTTTTGTTGTTGGTGGTGTTGGGGTGTCCTAAATTTAAAAATTTGTTCATAATTTTGCTTTTAACGTGTTTGATGACTTAATATATGTTTTTTTAATATTTATAATTTTGTTTTAGGTGGACACAATATCTTTATTTTCTGCGGTGCCCAGTGCCTCCAGCATGCTACCACTGAGTCACAACCCCAGCCCATATGCGTGTGTTTTTAAAACTTCCCCCGTCAATTTCAAATAGATTTTTCCTGGAGGGAAAGCTGTAATTTGGATGTCGCAAAAAACGATTCAGGGAGAGCTGAAGGGATGCGGGAGACCCTCGTGGGGAGGGACGGATGCCCTGGAGGGGTTGCGCTGATCCCAGGGCCTTTCTCCTCTGATTCCCCCGACAACTTCTCCGAGGTTCTTTGACAAATGGGGCGGGAACTCCAACCACAGAGTATTCTGTCGGCGGAGTGTAGGTGAGGGCAAAGAGAAGCCGCCGGACAGGCAGCGACCGAAGCAACTACCCGGCCACCCCCACCCGGTATGCGCCGGTGCTCATTAAACGCTCCATCAGAAGAAAACACAATAATTCCAAATTTCGGGAAAAGTCAAATCGGAGGGATGTAGGCCGGCCTCTACAGGATGGTCCTTCCCCAGGCCTCTCTGAATGTGAGGGCTCTATTCACAGCTCAAAGGGCAAGGTGGAGGGAAGCTGGGCAAAGATTCGATTCTTAACCCCTTCCCCGGCAAAAACCGAATTACTTTCCCCAAACCAAATTACTAAGAAAGGTCCCCTCAAATCGAATTTAAACCCACTGAAACAAAACTAAAGTTACGTTTGGCCAGAACGGCAGCCCAGGGCAGGAATCGTGGTCCAGACTCCATTTCCCTGGGCAGATGTGTGCAGGTGCCGATTTCAGGCACACAAAGCGGTACTCTTAGCTCGAGAGCGTGCGGTTGGCACCACATAGAGCCCAGCCACTGCGCGGAGACTCCTGTGCACTCCCACGTGTTCAGAATGCCGCGAAGAACTGCCAGGAAGCGGTGCTGATTCGAGTGGAGTTCCTGCTACAAGGAGGGTCGGAACTCCAAGTAACCTCAAGCAAGGAATACATCCGCCCCCAGCCCCCGCGCGCCGCCGCGCGGGTTAATAATGCTGGAGCAATCGGTACCCAATTGTGCGGGATGGTTTTCGTCTACCGACCAGCGAAGAGCCCGCGCAGTGCACAGCGCCGATCAGGTCCAGTTGCTCTGCCTAGGGCTGACTCTGGAGGACCCCTCGGAGCTGTATTCCCTATTCTGGACCCCATTGTCTCCGGACCCCAGGGCTGTTGCTGGGGACATCTTGCTAAGGACATCTTCTGATCTGACCAGGGGAGGGGGGGGCACTTCTGGCTTTCCTAAGCCGCAGAAGCTGTGAGGTATTGGTAGTGAGAGAAGAGTTAGTTGGTCTTGTCTCTCTCCCTCCCTCGCTCCCTTCTTTCCTTTCTTTCAACCTCCTCCCTTCTTTCTTTCCCTTTTCCTCCTTTCCTTCTTTCTTTCTTTCCTTCCTTTTCCTCTTCCTTTTTCTTGATTTTATTGTTTTTGGATTTGGGGTTTGCAAGTCATTATGCAGCAAATAACAAAGCCTTCGAATCTTAATCCAGTTTGCTTCTGTTATCCTTCTGGTAGCCTTCAGACAAGGGAAATGGCTGACCTAGAATATCACAGCCAGCAGCTTGGAGGCTGAGCTGGGATGGGAACCCAGGCTTGAGGCCTCTCAGGCCAGCCCTCCTTATATTCTGATCAAGCACTTGATAACTGTTCTTTCTAGCTCCCATCCCTAACACCTCCTTGTTTTTTAAGGTTGGGAAGATGTGACTCCTGTCAAAGGATATCCTACCCTGGGGAGTCTGAAGGTGAGGAGAGCCCCCAGTTTCCCAGCTAGGTGCCCCAATCCTACATCCTTTGGATCTGTGAAGAGAGAGGTGATAATGGAGGGCAAGGTCTCCTCATTCAGGGAATGGGTTAATAATAGTACCTACTTCACAGGGTGGGGAGGGGGGAAGGAGAGATGCACGGAGCTTGGTATTGAGTGTTTGGTAAATTCCAAAGGACTACAGGCTGTTTCTGTCACAGCTGCTGCACAGGATAAGGATCTTACACAAATTCAGAGAAGTCCCTTGAATGCTTAGGGGCTGCATTCATACCTTTGGGTATCTCCTAGCTTTGGAGGATGTCCAAAGCCAACTGCTGCAGAGGCTGCCAGAAAACCCACCCCTGCCTTTCCTTGCAAGGGCCAGCACAGAAAGCACTCTGGAAACATGATCCTGGGGAAGAAGTGTCTTCCACTGTCCTTTCAATTCCAGCTCACAAGCATCTCCTCTGTGAACCCGTCCCTGGCAGCCAACCCTGCCTCAAAGAGCATTGTCTTCCTCCTGTGCACCTGGAAATGTCATTCCTGGGGCCCCACGATGGTGGCCTCCCTCCAGAGGAAAATTATAGTGCTAGAAAGGAAGGTTAGGAAGGACATAGTATAGCCCCAGCTCTAAAGGAGGAGGTGGTGGCATGACTGAAGTTGGGTACAAAAAGGGGAAAGGTGGTTCCATGTGATAATAGCACTTCTCCACTAAACAAACCCTCACAACCCTGTTGGATGAGAGGGGAACGGGTTCTCCAGCTGCCCAGAGAAGGCTCTCCTAAAGAGTCCCTTCTTCAGAGTTCCAAGGTTTCAGGGTGGAGAATTCCAAACTAGGGGCCAGAGATGTATTTTCCTAGAAAACCTATTTCTGTTTATTCCAGGAGGAGAGTAAAATTTGAAATAGATTGCTCTCTTCCCTCCAGGATAACTGATTGTGAGCTTCAACCACCCCTACACACCCCTGGAATTTTCTGTCTCTCCAAGGAGATCTGAGTCTGGTGCCCCCCTTCCTCCAACAGGCTTCTCCTTTTCTCTGATAGTTTTTTCTCTCATCCCCCAAGACTGCTACCTTTACTCTGAGCCCTGATAATAATAGCATACTTATGTAAAACATGAAGATACCTACCAAGTTGCATACACTGAGAAAAAGGTGTGTGGGTAAGCTGAGGAACCTGAGGACTCCGTGGGTCTACAGATGGAATTGTCTTCTCTTAACATGAAGCAACTTAGATGTGTGTAGGCAGGTATCTCTTACAGGGTAGATACACGGGCTTAAATGCACCTGTGCTTGGATTTTCTATACTTTTAAGTGTGTACACCAGTGATTTGACCTCTATATTCATGGGTTTGTATAAGGCCCAAGTACAGTGCTTTTACAGTGCTTTTAAATAGGATTTGCTATTTATCTTTGGGTATGCAGATTTGTATACATCACAGCCTAAATTGAAGATCCACAGCCTAAACTGCAGATCCATAAACGAGCCTCTCTTTTCATAGAGGGATGCTAGTGTGAACATTTGTGTAGAAACCTGTAAATTTGGTACATATGAATATACGTTGTATTTGAATGGAGTCCTCGTGTAGTTGCACACATGCAGCAATAGATGATTGTAAAGGTGGACACATGCCTGTCAAGTCCTTGGGTACTAATGTATATAGGTACCTTCTGCAAATAGTATGAAAAATGCAGCCAGGTAAACAGGCCTGTTGTTATTTCATGAGCCTTCCTAGGAGCCACCCCACTCCCAGACTTTGTCCTGGTTCATGCAAGGCTTCGGTCACAGGCGGCGCCAGGTAAGGCGGGGTGCGGTGCAAGCAAAAGCCCAGACGGCAGATCCCTCCCGTAGCCTCGAGGGCCCACAGCAGCCACAGTGTCGCAATCAAGCCGGGGCCCCTGCCGGAAGCGGAAGCCGGCACGGGGGGCGGTGAGGCGCAGTCGCGGCGGTCGCGGCGTGCCAGGCCCAGGGCGCCCCGCGGGGGCGTGCGCGCCGCGCGCGTGCGGGGCAGGCTGGGCGCCGGGCTGTACCATCCCGGCCCCGGCGTCTGTTTACCAACAAACTGCCCGCGCTCTGCAGCGACGCATTCCGACGCGCTGAATAAGCCGCCAGCGCTGGCGGTCTGGTCTCAATTTCCCTGCAGATCCCCGGCAGCCGGAGCCGAATCGCCTTGCGGACCCCGAGAGCTGGACACACGAAGGCGGGGTTTTAAGTGTCCTGTCAGCGGAGGCGCCTCCGCCCACGGGGCAGCTACGCTCGCCCCTCGGGCATCCCAAGGCCGCCCGCTGCCTAGTACGTCTGCCATATTACTGAGGCTCTCTGGCTGCGCAACCACCCTGCAACCCCGGCACCCTCTCAGAGAAGACGCCTGGAGAGATGGGCCAGGATCCTTCGCCCCGCAACCCTCCCCTCTTCCTACTCTGGCTGCCCTGGGGGCGGGTCCCGGCTCCAAGCCTCAGTGAAGTCACTAAGTGCAGTAGCCAATCCGGGGAATCTACGTGGGCGGGTCCGTCGGGTCCCGGGAACCGAACCTTGTGGATAGGAGGGGGGGCTCCCACAGACTCAGGGGGGAGGGGAAAAGCATGGGGGACACCCCCCCCGGAACCCCTTTCCCGGGTGCGAGCTCTCCTCTGGAAGAGCCATAGAGAGACATTTTCCACGGGATCTTAAGTGAGGGGCCGCTGGCTGGAGGTTTCGTCCGCCCAACGACCAAGGCCCTGGAAAAAAGAGTTGGCGGAGGGAGAGGGAGACGTGCTGGGCCATGACCTAGGACCTTCGGCTTGGCCTCGGCCGCAATGACCTCTTTGCCCTGCCCCCTCCCTGGCCGGGATGTCTCCAAAGCTGTCTTTCCGAACCTCGCCCCCATCCCGTCGGTAGTGGCTGCCTACCCGCTTGGCACGTCCCCCGCAACCGCAGCCTCTCCCGATTTGTCCTACTCCGGACCGTATGGTCACCTTCTGTCCTACCCCTACACCGGGCCGGCGACGCCAGGAGACTCCTACCTGCACTGCCAGCAACCCGCGGCGCCATCTCGGCCCCTCAGCGACCCGGCTGAGAGCCCACAGGAACCAGAGACAGGTAAGTCTGGTCGTGGCGGTTCTTCCCACCTCGGGGGTTCAGCTCCCATACGCCCCTAAACTTCGTTATGGCCTGGTTTGCATGCAGCTAGCGGGATTCAAACTTTACTCCGATTCCACGGAATCTGGGGTAGGGCGAAGAGATGGGGTGGGAGGTGCGGGGGGGGGGGCGGGGAGGAGTGGGGGCAAGTTGAGCTAGGTCTCCTTTCAAAACTGACCTGGTTTCGATTTGCAGTTGTATGAAGCCAGGCCGGGAAGTCTCCCTACCCCACCCCCTGGAGCAGCAGAGTTGTGTGTATCTACTGTAACGGAAAACTGCAACAATCCAGATGTGGGGGTGGGGTCCCTAACCCCTTCCTCTGGATTCTCCCCATGTGCCCTTTTCTGAGTGGTCTAGTCTCAGAAAGGAGTATTCAAGCCAAACCCTGCCAAACAGAAATCAGGTCCTGGCTGGAGGGCTGTAGATGTAGGGGTTTCTTCTTCTCCATTCCTGGGCCCCACCCCCTTTCCCCAGACCATGCCTGACCTTGACTGGAGCCTGACTTGGCAGAATCTGGGACTAGGACCCCATCACCCATCATTCAAAGAATAGATCCAGGCTGGTCAGGAAATCCCTAATCTTTCCCTGGCAGCTTCAGCCTTCTAACCAAAGGAGCATGTCATCCCTGTCAGCTCCACCCTTGACTTTGGGTACATTAGGCCCCAGTTCCTGTTGCCTGGAACACCTTTGAGCTTCTGAGAAAGTACTTGCTCACTGAAAGACCTCAGTAAAGCCCATGAGCTAGCAGGTCTTCCTGGCCTTGGAGTTGACATACTCACTGACCCTGGAAGTGCCCTGTACATACTCCCATCTGCACTGGCTCCAGCTTAGACTCCAGGTTCCCTGCACTGCTTGCTCTCACCTCATTGTCCCCAAATGTGCCAAAGACAAGTGTCTTTGGCACGTTTTTCTCCATGGATGCATGTCCACCATGCAGCTTCTCTGCAATCAGCTCAGGACCAAGACATCTCCTCTCTTCCCTGTTGTTCTGACATGAACACATGAACCATCTGAGCCAGAGTGACCCTAGAATTTGGGCACTCAATTTCTCAAACTGAGGCATGAAAAAAGGGTATTCATGGGTCAAGGATACAGCCTGTTTTCTAGGTTATTGGCCTTTGCAAATCCATTTTCACCGCATGGGGCCTGAAAAGAGGACTTTAGGAAACTTTCTTAGAACACGGGAAAGTTAACTGTCTTCTGTGGCAAAACTGGGGCTGCCTCTTCCAAGGCTGCTGGGTCAGGTTTATGGAGTGACATTTGGTGGTGGTGATGGCAGGGTCTTACAGATCTAGTTTCTTCAAAATTCCTTGGACTTCTTTTTACGCTAGTACAGTGTGTTCCATGTGCTGAAACATGTATGTTTTGGGAGTGGGGTAAGATTAACCAGACTTTACCCTTGAGGTAACTGTTCAAGTGATGTGGGTGTCCTCAGTTCTGCCTTCCACATTTTCCTGGTCATCTCTTTGCTTGAACTAAAGACAAGCGAGTGGAGAGTTTCTTTTCTTACAACCTTTACCCGTATCCAACGAAGAGCAGCACACACCACTGTCCTTAAAATAGATTGTAGCATTTCTCTGTTGAAACTGTTGTGTTCAGTTCGCCCTAGAGTCAGAGGGGTGTGAGAGCAAGAGGTTCTCCTAACCCCAAACCCCTTAGTGTCCACCCCCGCCCCAGGGAGGGGTTTGGCTCCAAGTGAGCCAGCACTACACACCCCTTAGAGCCGGCGGGTGCGGCGGCGCCCGGAGAGAGGCCCTGAGGCTCCATTATCGCGACAAGTGCAGATCCAGTTGTGACTTGCTGCAACTGGCGTGGAGAAGGCTGCAGGTCGGGAAGAAACTTAGAGCTGGGTGGGCTCCCAGAGTTGGGGCGCGGCGCGGTGGGCTCCGAGAGTTCAGCAGCAGCGGCTGCCCTGTCTTAGCCGCTGTCAGTGCATCACCGCCGGAATTGCTCTTTCCACGCAGCCAGAGAGGCGCGGGTGGTCGCTCGATTGCCAGCCCCGGGTTTCGAGCACTGGGTTCAAGCAGGGGAGGCAGGACAGGCGCGTGCGGGAGCGGAAACCTAACTGTTTTTCTGGGAATTGGCTGAGGCTGGGGTCGAAGGAGAAGGATCTGAGAAGCCCGCAGCGCCCGAGGCCACTGGTGTGGGATGCGGGGGAGGTGAAGGCAACCGATGACCGCGGCCAGCTAAGGGCGGGGACCCTGACGAGGGTGGGATGAGCCAGACTAGGAGAATATGGGGGGGGGGTGAGGGGACCAAAGCCGCACTGGAGCGCGGGGGTCCGCGGGGCAGATCCCTATGGAATATGGCCAACGTTGCCCTAAGCCCGCGGGCGCTTCGGCTGCTCCATCCACTCGGCTACCCCCATCTTCCTAGGACGGTCTCCATTGTTCGCGTAGAATGGCTCAGGTCGGGAACAATGACCGGGAGGAGTCGAAGCCCCTTGCCTCCACCCGGCGGCATTCTAGGGCCCAGCTGTCCAGCAGCCGAGATTCCTGGAGAGCGAGGAGGACCGGATATCTCGCTGCAGCGGCGTCCCAGAGCGATCCAGGAGCGGCCCTGCCGGCCTGCGCTGCGGGCTCTGCATTCTCCGCAGCCGGGGCACCTTGTAGGGACCCTCTGTGCCTGCAGTCCAGCTGAGGACAGGGCTTCCCACATCGACCTGGCTTCTGGGGGGTTCCTGAAAACGTCTCCCCAGAGCCAGTCGGCCGAGGAAGGGGTGTGTGGGGAGAGAGATGGACACCCTTCTTCAGGAGAGGAGCTGCCCATTACTGTAGGGGAAACATGGCAAACCCCAATGCTGACCTTGACGCCCGCTCAGCCCCGCCTTTCAAGCAGCAAAAGGGTGCCAGGTGGACCCTATCTCTGGTTTCTGAGCATTGTTTTTGAGTCCCCTGCACCTGGAATGCACTTCCCGTCATTTTCAGGCCTCCTCTCAGCCCTAGACTCAGTCTTTTGCCCCGCCCTATCCCATACCGCTGCCTTTCCAACCTCTGAACTCTGACCTCCCACCCCCAGGTGTGGGTGTATTATCTCTCTGGCCCTTGGGCTTTCTGCACACAAAATTCATGTTTGGGAGCACCCTGAGGGCAAGAGCTGGGTCTTGTATCCCCTGGCGCATATGGAGCAGTGGGGATTGAAAAGAGAAGGACAGGAGAAGGACGTGAGCTGTGCCTTTTACTAATCTTCCCCTGGTATGCAGAAGAGGTACAAGCTAGCCTGTGAAACTGCCTGTCCTACAGTGTTAATTCCCACACATACCATCTTGTCCCCCAGAATCAGAGAAGCCAGTGCTGTCCCCGGATGCCTCCCAACGGCACCTGCTTGCCCCTACCAAGAAGCAACGCAAGCCAAGAACCATCTATTCGAGCCTGCAGCTGCAGCACCTAAACCAGCGTTTCCAGCATACGCAGTACCTGGCACTGCCCGAGAGGGCCCAGCTGGCAGCACAGCTGGGCCTCACCCAGACGCAGGTGGGGCCAGTCCCATCCTTCAGGAGTGCAAAACTTCCCCAGTGCCTGCTCGCTGGGAACTCGCCCCCCAGGTGTGAATGAATGACAAGTTCCCTGGCCCAGCTGACACAGTTTTCCAGGGAGTGTTCATAGCTGGCTCTCTTCAAGTGTTGGGGGAATGTATTAGAAAAGTGTTGCGGGGTAGGCGGTGGGTGTTGGTTCAAGGGAGGAGAGCACCCCAGGCTGGAGAAATGGATACTAGCTCAGGGAACTTCCTGGACTATGCAGAACTAGAGCAAAATGTTCCCAACCTCAGCTCTTCTTCCTGGACTTGCTCCCTATAGCCAGGGATCTTTTCACACATATTCCTGATCTTTTATTCTGTCCCCTTTTCTCTCCAAAGGTAAAGATCTGGTTTCAGAATAAACGCTCCAAATACAAGAAGCTCCTGAAGCAGAACTCTGGGGGCCAGGAAGGGGACTTCCCTGGGAGACCCACTTCCCTGTCTCCCTGCTCTCCACCCCTTCCATACCTCTGGGATTTACCCAAGGCAGGTGCCCTGCCCACTGGTGGCTATGGCAACAGCTTTGGAGCCTGGTATCAGCATCATTCCCCAGATGTACTGGCTCCACCTCAAATGATGTGAGTCTGGGAAGGAGGGCAGGTCAGGCCCCAGTCCTGCCAAGCCCAAGACTGGTGCACCTGCATCCCTTCTGGAACAAGAGGAAACCAGCTCCAGATGGGTTTTCTTGGAGGATGAGGAGCTAGAAGAGAAAAGGGGACGGGATGGAGTCCTGTTCCCTTAACCCAAACAGCTAACTCAAGGACTTAAGCCTTTGTCACTGTTGCAGAGACTACCACAGATTGGACACCTTCCCTCCAAATGGATAAAGACTCTGCAGAAAGTGTCATTGGCTGGAGTTTAGTCTGTCCTCAGGACCCTTGATTTTGCCACTCCTCTCTTGCTTCAAAGGACTGCAGCCCCACCATTGCCTGGGGTCAAAACCAGGAGGAAACACTGAATATTTGTTCTCCGTGTGCCTTGGGCCCTGTTTGTGAGCCAGAGCAGAAGTGGACATCCAGAGTCTTCAAAGCTGACCACCATCAGGTCCCACCCTCTGATACTTCCATATCTGGGTGTGTAGCTAAGTGATAGAGCACATGCTTAGCATGAGGCTCTAGGTTCAATCACCAGTACCCAAACTAAGCAAAACATACAAACATGGAGTTTGTGGACCTGTGGTTAATTTATGCTCCCCTTCTATAAAAGTCCTTTCCCCACATGACTATGCATTTTAAGTAGATAATAGACCCAATTATCCATACAATTCAACAGCTATTTATTAAAAACCTATTCCCTCCTATTCCCCACCCCTAATATAGAACAACATGCACATATTCTTGGGAACCCAGCAGACTAACACTTAAGGGGAAATGGGGACAAACAGGTTCTTTGGATGGTTGCAGGTATAGATACCCCCAAATAGGTGGGGCAGGCCTGGCAATGTGCTCCTTATCCTGCCTCTGTCCAAAGGAACTGCTCAGGTTTATAACCAATCTGACTAGCATCCAACTCTTACAATCCGTGTACCATGAGCTTCTACAGATTAAAGTTTGTACAAAAACCTGAGTGACGCTGCGAGGTGTTTGTCTCCTGAGCCATGCTGGGGTGGGGGCCAGTTGCTCAACTCTCCCACCTGACTTGCAGAAGTCAGAGGTACTGGATTCCACTTTTGCCTTTGCCACCGACTGGCTCTGTGGTTCTAGCTGTGGAATGTTCTAATAATATTCATAGTTATTTCATATGCTCTGGTGTGAAACTGGAAGATGAGCATGCTGGAAGGAAGAAGGTGGGAATGGCCTTTACCAGTAGATCCTTTCCTGACCCAGTTGCACAGGGAGCAAGGCACCTCACAGCCCCCATGCTCCACCTGGGCAGTGGCCCTACTCACCCTGGGAGAGGACACGCCAGACCAGTCCTACTGGGAGAAGTGTGCTGCTTGGAGGTGGAATGGCCTCAGCCCAGCTCAGAGAATGAGGAGGCAGGAGGGAAAGAAAACACCAGGGCAAACCAGAATTCTCTTCCATCCAGCACATATTGGGTAAAGCCTCTGCTGAGTGTGAGGTCCTGGGGATACCATGGTGACTAAGCAGACACTTCAGGCTAACAGAGAGCCAGACAAATGACCAGAGATAAATGCGATGTGGAGGGCAGGACTGAAGACAGGGTTGGATGCTGTGCAGGGGCTCCAGTTCAGCCTGGGCCCATGGAGTCAATGCTAGGTGACAATTCTGGATAGCTCAGGGAGCAGCAAGACACAGCTGTGACTCATAGCCACTACACCCCACTGCACACAGCACAGGGCTTAGAGAACTGTGGGAGAAGGGTTGAGGAAAAGCAAGAACCATTGAGGGAATCCAGCCCAGAATGGCCCCCAGGGCTGGGGAGGGGCCTTCAATTCCAGGCACAAGACTCCCAAGTCAAGCTGCCCTCTTGTTGCCTAAACCTGTTCCCAGGCTCTGCAAGCTCAGGGCTGGCCCCAGGCAAAAAAGCCCACCAGGATCCTCAGGCCAACCCAGCCCCAGAGAGAAGCTGGCTTGGGATCATATGCAGGGTAGAAGGGGCGTCTCATTAGGTTGAAGGCCCATCCCAATGAGCAATTAGAACTTCCCGTACCACTTCTGGGTCCGTGGCCACTCTCATTCCCCAAAACACACATGGGATGGCAAAGGGCACCAGGTGGGCCAAAGCCAAGGCCTGAAGCAAAGAGGAGTGGGAGTGCCCAGAGGGAGAGGTGCTGATTTCTTTCTCAATGCCTTCCCTCACCCAAGGACCCTAGCTCCAAGGCTCTCAGGGGGTGGCCCAGCCCCAGATCCCTCCTCTGGGTCTTCTCTAAGGCCACAGGCCCTGAGGGCAGCTGTTCCCTTCCACTTCGGGTTGCACACTCCTCTTTCCACAGAGTGGAGATAAGATCTACCACCCCATCTCGGAAAGCCTCCAAAGGCAGATTAATTGGACAGCCCAACACGAGTCGCATCGTTAAAACAACAGCTTGGTTGTAAAGTTAAGTAGCAGAAGAAGCGTAATTGCTCTCCCAGCCAGCGGCCAGCTGAGCCGACAACATCCCTCCGCCTTACCCGCTCCGCCCTTTCCAGGGGAAACAGGAATCTCTTTTCCCACTTGGGATCTGGTCCAGTTTCCCGGGGCTCCTGGGTGGGAATGCACCTGGAGCCCCGATGGAGGAGGTGCCCGGCTCCCACCCCTCAAGCCATCAAGGCTGTAAAAGGGGAACCCTGTGGTCTCTCGGTCTCTTCCCATGAGGAAGAAGCCCTGTTGGGAGCAATAAAAGAAGGGGAACAAGGAATTCCACAACTCTGCCTCTTGCTAGCTGTGTGACTTCTGGCAAGTTTCTTAACCTCTCTTGGAGGTTTGTTTCTTCCCCTCTAAGATGGGAATGCTAATAGGACATGTTTCGTGGCGTGGTTGTGATGATCAAATGAGATAGTGCTTGTAACATGCTTGACACAGTGCCTGGAACATAGTAAACACTTAATAAATGGCATTTATAGCTGCAGTTTTGATCACTGGGGAGGGAGGGGTCACAGTGTGGGCGAGTTCATATTGCCATCCATTCTCCTCTCTCCCCTGGTAGACCTGCCTCCAGAGGGCGGAGAAGAGGAATCAGGCTGGAGACAGAACCCCACACATCTCTGATCATCACCATTTGAGAACTGGACACAGGCAAGGTCCCAAATGCAAAAGGGCCAGCTGCTTGTGCGTCTTGAAGTGGGCTGAGACTGGAAAATGGGAAAGCATGTCCAGAGCACCAGTTATCCCGTCTGTGTATCTGCCTCCGGAAAGCTGACTTGGGGCGTCCCCTCCCTCTGGGTCACTCACCTTCTCTTTCCCCACATGCTATTTTAAGGTTTGCCCCCCATTCTCTCCTCCAGCAAAATGAGATTCAATTAATTCAATTAAAGCAATTTTGGAAGCAGCTCCTGAAGGCTTTCAATGTGAGATAATTACAAGTAATTTGCTTCTGTGAGGAGGAAAAGGTTACACGGGGTCTGGGGGGGAAGGAGGTAGCCCCCTCCTCACCAAATGCACACAGATCTAGAAAGATTCCACACAGCAATCTTAGCTGCCCTCCCATTGGCCAAATTACTTGCAGGTGGGAAGAAGGAGAGCATGGTGGTAGGAGGGGGTGGGAAGACCCTGAGTGACAGGCGGCCCCTCCTCCACCCCCAAATCCTCTGTGAAGGTGGGGGTGGGGAACTGCTTATTTCCCCGACAAAATGTCTGCATCGCCGAGGCCCATGATTACTCAGCTCCCAGCCTCATTTGAGTTTGGATGCCTGGACTTGCCTCTGGGATTGGATCCAGAGTCAATGGAATGCTATCCGGGTAGCAGAGGCCTGTGTAGACGGGGGGCCTTGGGAGATCAAGGACTTCCCCAGAACTTATAAGAGATGTGGGTAGAGAGTGGGGAAAGCCTGAGAAGGAAAACAGCAACTTCCTGCTTCCAAGAAATTGAGGAGACACCCCTTCTCTCCCTTCCAGCCTCTCCCCTCCCCAGCACCAATGCTTTCTGGTTCTGCCTGGTGTCTAATCTCAATTCTTTCCATTGTAGTGGTGGCAGATCTCCTCTCAGCTTTCTATCCTCAGGGGCTCTGAAGCCTCTTTTTTCCCAAAAGCATCCTACAGGTGTTCCCGCCCCTCCCTCACCTGGAATAACCCTTTCCTTACCAGGCCTCATTTGGCATGGGAGGAGGAAGGAAGGGGGAATATGATGTGAGGGAGGGGACCCAGACCTGGGGGCTGGGAGGCAGGGGCTGAGACCAAGGGCGGAGGTAGCATCAGCCTCCACAAAGACCCTCTCAATCCTGCCCAAAAGGTCTGGGGTCCCCCTTTACCAGGAAACAAATAATGTTTAAACAATTATGGTGGAAAAAAAGAAATCACTGAGCCTAAAGAACCTCTCTCATGCCCCCCCCCCTTCTTGCCCAGCTTTCTCCTAGCTTTTCTCTCTTTTGGAAGGATTCATTCCTTTGGCTCCCGTTTCTCCCCACTCTGCTCAGTGATCCTTTCTCTGAGATGGGCTTTTGGGCCTGGAGAGTAGGGAAAAATTCCATCAGTGAATTCTTGGTGACTTCTGTTCTTCCAGGATGAATAAGGTCAGTGATGGAAAGTGGCTGTCCCTCCATACCTCCACTTCCCCTTGCCTAGCCAGCTCAGACTGGTTACAAAGGAGGAATCCAAGACCCATTCATTTCAAACCTCAACATGCAAAGGCCCCAGACAAATCCTTGTAGATAGGCAGACCCAGGTTCCCAAGCACAGGGACACCATGTATACACATTTGTACAGAAGATGCACACGTGGGCAGGCAGATATATACTACATACACTGGCAGAGCTGCACCCGAAAGACACATATGTACATCTGCATGAAGCATTCCGTGGTTGTACATGGACAGACACAGAGAAATGCACTCATGGCTCACATGTTCGCAGAGAGAAGCACAATTTGGAGGGATGATCCAAGGAGGAGATGCCCAAGGGCTTCCATGAAGGCAGACAGAAGCATGCACAGAAATCTACCGACTAGCTTCTGCCTGTGTGCACGTGCGCATGCGCAGGCATGTATGGTAGGAACGTGGGGGGGGGGGCAGGTCTCTTTCTCTCTCTCTCTCCTTTTGCCCCCTTATCTTTTCCTCTACTGTTCCTGGCTCCTATATTCTAGGAACATTTCAGGGAATGTGTCAGGAGCCAGGCAGAGGCATGTCAGGAAGCTCTGTGCAGTCTGGCTTCCCCAGGATCTGTTGGAGCAAAGACGGTTCTGGTGACCCTAGTAATCAGCTGTAAAGGGAGGCTGAATGGCCATAGAAATTTGATTGTGACTTTCTTTGATTCCTGGGTCCTGCTTCTTTTCCAGTTCTCTAGCAAGAACAGCTCCTGTCCCCCTTCATGACAGGTCCCATGGCTCCCAGACAGGGCCATAGTGTCTAGCTCTGCCACAGGAACCCAAAGGTCAGCTAACAAGGGCTTAGGTGGCCCTTCCCTTAGAGGTCTCACTAGTCCCTCTTCTCCCCTGCCCTGGCTCTGACTCCAGCCTCTGGGGGGGGGGGGCTTAGTATCACAGGGTGGCAAGAGGTATGGATGGCTCTTGCAGCCAAAAATCTGGATCTGCTACTACTTGCAGAGTAACCTTGAGCAAGTGACATACCCTGTCTGAGATTCAGATAGCTTCTCTGTGTGACCACGGGATACTAATCTATATCTGCTTTGTAATGCAGATCCTGTCTCTCTCATCAGATCGAAGTTTCCTCCCCCATCTGACTGGGTGCATTCTGCAGTTTTTTCCAACACCACAGTTTGATGACGCTAAGGTCCTCATCCCTACTGGCATCCTGGGGGACATGTCTGGCCAGCCCAGGAAGGGGAAAGGAGTTGGCCCACGCTTCCTCCAAACATCAAGCTTTCTGATTCAGCTCCTTACAGTGCCAGGCCTTCAGCCTTTCTGGCCCCAAGATGGAGAGATTACTTCATTTCCAGGGGAGGGTGCCGCTCTCTGTGGAATACGTGTGGAATAGATTCCTCTCAGCTCCGTGTGAACCACCCCCTTTCAGA